AAACTATGGTATAGAATTGAATTTTTAAATGTATAAAGACTGTTATGTATTTTTTTCAGGAGACCTTCTCATTGCCATGTCACAGATCATGTTTGCCACACAAATTACTTATGAGCAAAGATTCATTAAAAAACATTCCATTCACCCCCATGCGTTTTCTGGGGGTTGAAGGTTAGTTTTATTGATTAAGCAACAGATAATCTTCTTACTTTTCATTTTCAATCATCTTGATTTAAAATTTAAAGGGAAATCTTATAATTTGTATAGTAAAATAAAAAATATACACTACAAGATCAGTTCTATGGCTGTCAATTCAAATATCATATTATTTGTAGGTCGTTTTTTTTTGTAAGTTGATTGTCAATATTTAATGGAAATGTCTTCCATGATTGTTTTATTTTTTAAAACATTTTTTTGCTCTTTTTTTTTCAGGAATATATGGCTTAATTTTCTCCTTATTTTTTGTGGTTACTGTTTAACTTTTCGGACATGGTACAGTACAGCATTCTGCCCAATGGAAAACTTGAGGATATATATGATGCCTTTCACCAGTTAAGAAATTCACCACAATGTGCAGTCTCATTTTTAGGTACATATCTATTTTTGGTTTACAGTATTATAGTAGTATGTGTCATCAACCATCACAAACATTATAATTCAAAAAGTATTTAGCTGTTACTGGTTTTTGTACCTTCATTGCAGGAATTAAAGCATGGTTTTAATTTAAGAGTTTTTAAATGAAAATATAAAATTTTACGTTTAAAAAATTATTTTAAATGGTGGAGTCAATTTACATTGGGTAATAATGCAGCTGTTGTATCCTAGTATATTATATAGGACAATCTCCAGCATTAAGAGTTAGAAATTTAGAATAAATATTTAAAAAAGAAAATCTATTATTTTACCTACTTGACTATATTAATTCAATTACTAGAATCTACTAAATCTTAACAAATTTTAAAATGCTTTTACTATTACATACTTTCATTGTTTGATCTGAAAAATCATCATCTGTTGCATTTTCATTTTGAATGTTTTATGTACTAATAATATATTTTCTTTTGATGTATATATTTTAAGAAAAAATAATTTAATTCTGCAGGCTCAATCCTATTCTACAATCTCTACACATATTTGGGGATGTTCCTGATACGTGACCTTGGTGCTCTCTCCAGAATTATGACCGAGACATTAATATGGGCACTGTATTGGGTCATAGCCGTTGCTGTTGGATGGGATAAATTTTTCGTTTCTCAAGTATGCATGTTTTGTTTTTTACACCTCCTGATTTTACATTAACATCTTTATAACTTTATTCACATGGTATAAAAATTCAATAAACTATGAAATCACATTTTGTAGATTCCTGGCTTGGTTGTTATTCCATTGGGAGTACTAATCTACAATCATATTGTGCCGATTCCGTTTGGCTCATGTGGAGGTCGACCTAATGAAGGGAATGGGAATGCTGGAGAAGGAAACCCAGAACAGATAATCAATGGCAATGCGCAAGCTGTAGACGACGATGTACCATTACTTAATCCCGAAGATCGCCAGGCTATTGAAGAAGTGAGAAGAAGAGGTCCCCGTCAACAAAATGCTGATGTGGAAATTCTCAATGTTAATTAAGTTTTGTAATTATTAAATCATCCTGAATTTATTTGTTATAAAATATGTCAGGTAAAAAAACATGCAACACTTAGATTTAAACAATCCTACTTTATAACTTAGCCTTTGCATTATCTAATTTTTTAAATCATTAAATTTAAAGTGTTCGAAATTAAAATAAAATTGTATGTAATTAATCTTTTAAAAACATTAATACTAAAAACAAAGTTCCACTCTGTGATGACTCATTTTATTACACTTTTATATTATATTTTACATTATGATTCTCCACTAACACATCTTTACAAAATGTTTTATTTGATATAGCTTAAATTTTGATATAGCTTAAATGTATTGATTTGAATGTTCTACGTTGTGAATGATACTAAGATATTGATTTGTTGTTGTTGTGTGTTTTTTTCTCCTGGTTTTTTTCAGTGAAATTTGTTGCTTTAAGTGTAATAATAATAAAAATTATAAAATATAACATTTGTTTTCTTTCCCAAAAGTGTATGTCGCTGCTTTAGTCAATGGCATTTTTATTTTAAAATTTGGTGCAAGATTCTGTAAAAAAAATGTATAGACCTACTGTTTGGAAAATAAACATTTGATACAAAGAACATGAGAAGATTTTGTGTTCTTTCTACATTACAATAGTATTGAACTTAATTAAAAATACAATGGCATTCAGCAAGTTAATATATGTCTTATGATATTGTATTTGATCATTGAGGTTGACTAGCTATCCAAGTCTGCATCCATTCTAACATGCGCAAGAAAAAACTACATACAAAAAACGTGTGCAAGGCATTATTGTTTTCTTAATTTGAACATTTATAGACATTAATAAAGAAAAACAATTTTCCACTAAATAGGAAAAAAAATTCGAATTTTGAAAATCTGGTCTGGTGAAATACCATTCAAATTAGCATTAATTTAAATGGTATTACTATTTCAGCATACCAAATTTAGAAAAAAAATATTTTTAGATACAAAAACTAGGAAGCTGACTCTATTAGGGCTAATAAAAGAAGGATCAATGATTAAATGACCAATATATATTCTAGGTTTTTTTAACCTTGGGACCTCCACAAAAGGCTATTTTTAAGATGGCCACCGTTGCCATGACCATTCTTTCAGAAAAGTCTCTGAGTCATCAAAATATTTTCTTTTATGTACCCCAATTTAGATACAAACAAATATATAATTAAAGCTTACTAGGTAAGAAGTTGGCTTTTTTTCTGGAACCTACCCCCTTAAAAAGTAATGATAGAAATTGAACTTTACATTTAGCTTTTTTGAATTTGGTTTTTTTCTTTTTTTTTTTTTTTTTGTAAATTGTAATAGATTTTTTGAGCGTATTTTAACGAAATCGATGTTTTAAAAAAAAAACAGCAATTTTTTTGGGTGGGGAGGTGGCATTGTCTTTTTATGACGGGAAAAAGGTAAAAATCGTCAAAAAAAAAAGTGGCGTTATTAATATTAAGCCCAAAGAGTTTTGAAGTTATCATTTATTTTTTTCCTTTGTGGCCACTTGGGAGCAAAGGGCTGTAATTACACCTCTCCACCGGACTCGGTTTTGGGCTGCTCATTTTAGCGGTCTTTGCCTCTTCTTCTACCGTTCTTCTCCTTGTTCTCTTTGGTCGACCCACTTTCCTTTTATTTTTATTTTTTGAAGTAGTATTATAAAATTTTTAGGCTACTTGTTACTAGATATTCTAGTATGGTAGGCCTACCTAACAGGGTTTCTTCCAGGCTTTGCCCCCCCCCCCCCCCCGAAAATTTTTTTACGGCCCCCCCCCCCCCCCCCCCCCGAACGAAATGAAATTTATATAATTTATATAGAAAATATATACTTTTAACAGTGTCCGCCCCCCCGAAAAAAGTCTACCGCCCCCCCCCCCCCCCCGAAAATGTCATCCCCCCCCCCCCCCCCCCCCCCCCGGAGAAAAAAGTCTGGAAGAAACACTGCTACCTAATGTGAGGGCTATATGAAACACAAACTAATTAATTAAATATGATAACAAGAAGTTGAAGATAGATCTAGCTAGACTAGATAATTCTATAGGCCTATATAATAATCATATAGATCTATATTCTTAATCTTATTCTAGAGATCCGTAATTTTTCTATTAGATCTACTATTCTACTATCAACTTTAAATTGGTGATGATAATTATTAATTAAGTGACATTAGTTCACGATTCTCGTCTCTAAGAGTAAAAGAGTAAAATAATGTGTATTAGGAAAATCATTAATATTACTATTATATTATTATTATTAATAAGACCTGCATTAGCTTAGAGCGCACGTGTCTGGTTTTAATGTTATTGGAAGTTTGTTAGCCCTCGCTTTTAAATATTTCTCTTCCAAAGCTACGCGGAAGTAAATCTATTTTTAGCTTTGTGAAATTCCACGAATCTCAAGCAGACATAGATCTAGCTTGAGAAAAATATTTTGCTGTTGCTTGTTGAAAATGCCTTCAATAAATGCGATCATAACTGGACTTGCTTTTTTATTTTTTGGACTACTGCTTGTATTATGTGATAGGTAAATAGATACTATATAGATTTTCTAGTCATAGAATCTAGTCTCTAGAGTACATACATTGATCATTTCAAGATTAAGATCGCAATCGACGATTTATTTTAACAGCTAAATTAGGGGCCTACAATAAGTGAATAATCATTATTAATTTTTAATCACGGCAAATTCATGTCAATAAAGTAAAAGTTACTAAAAGTAAAGTGGAAATAGACTTTAGATTAGTTTTATTAGTAGATCTAGAATCTAGATCTGAATCTGATTTAGAATCTAGATCTAGATCTAGATCTAGAATCTAGATCCACATCTGGATCTACTAAGAGTAAGACTAGATCTATGTACTATGTAAACTTTAAACTAATAATAATATAATAAACTATGTTAGAAATTTACAGAGTAGAGACCTGGATTCTATCATAATCTATGTTAAAAACTAAAGACAAAAATAGTTAAAATAAAAGTTAAATGCCAGTTTTTAACTTGTCACAATGACAATATCATGTTGAAATCTGGCATTATAATACCTAGTATTTAGTATGTAGATCTAGTACCTATAGAATAGTGGGTAATGAATAGATCTATTAAATCTATATGATAGATCTAGATATTAGATATTCAGTGTAAAAATGTTAAAAAGCTACTTTAGCAAATAAAATTAAAATATATAAAAATAAGGTTTCTCCATTTGCCATTTTGGAAACAGATTTATTAATCACAATTAGTCAACTACTTATTCATAGAAAAACACTGTGTAATGTGTAAGGTTCCTAAAACTTATATTAAAATATAATTTTCTATTGCTGGCCTACAGCTATAGATCTCTTTTGTGTGTGTGGGGGGGGGGGGGGGTCTTTTTGTTTTTGGTTAACAATTTAGGAACCTTGCAGCATTCTTATTTTCATTAATATCACTATTGGTTTACACATTTTTTATTTAACTCAATAACTATGCCCATCTGCCATTACTTTCGCTGACTTGAGTCAGGTACATATATATATATATATTCAGTGCATATTCAATATTATTCCTGCTACATACAATTCTTAGTTGTGAATTTAAAAACTAAAAGATAACTCTTTTAAAGTCATAAGACTGTGAAGTGGGATTTTTATAATTTAATTTGCTTTGCAAAAAATTTCATTAATAAAATAAATTGTGATAACATGAGAGAATGTACAGTACATCTGTTGGTTTTGATTTTCAGTATAAAAATAGTGATTTTGTTGGCTAAATCAACCTAGCTATAAAAAAGGCAGGTTTTTCATTTAAAGGGAAACAACTCAATTAATGTTTTTAGATATAAATTGTATCAAAAGAATAAAGACTTCGGTAATGGGGAGAGCTGGAGCCATTTTTCAAATGTTTGATTTTTTGTAACAGTTTAAGGTATAAAAATTAATACCATTGTTAGGAATAACTCAGTGTTAGCCCTGTGCTGTGTATTTAGTAAATCTACCTTAATATAAATTCTTGAAAGTGCATCTGATTAAATTAGACACTGTTCTTCACCAGTTAAAAAAAATGAACACAAAAAAAGTTGTTGTACAGTATAAATTTCATTGCACTTTATATTTGTATTAAAATTGATATTCTATAAACTTTAGATATAGATCTAGCGCACAGATTTTATTACTTGAAATATAAATTTGATTGCACTTTATATTTGTATTGAAATAAATATTCTATCAACGTTGGGTATAGCATACAGATTTTATTACTTTATGGCATTAATAATGTATGGCTTCTGTTTAAGTAACTACTTTCTTATTACTTTACATCTTACAAAATCCAACTGTGTATAACATGACATACTCTAATACTAATGCATCAATAAAATGCCCAAACAATATTTTTATTCTTATTTAAGATGGCCCACTAAAATAACTGTCCAAGGATCAAAGACCAGCAAGGCTCATCAGTTTGATCATCTTTTCCTCCTGGTAAAACATAGTGGAGCATGTTATTATTTATTTTATGTGTTGTTTATTTTTTAGTGTGAATAGATTTTTATCTTGAGAGTAACCTATTTTATTCTTTTAAGCCATAACTAAATGTGTTAATAGATTGCTCTTGTTTTATCCATATATTGTTTAATTTTTATTTCAGTGGTTTTTCAAACAGACTGTGCAGTTTTTACTTTTACCTTTATGGTTCCTAATAGACAGAAACATACTTGGCTTTGGCAGATTCAAACATGGTGAAGTACAACCACGAGGTGAGACATGGTTTTTACATTAATATTGGATTGGATAATTTTTTTTGTTTTATAAAAAAATAATCTTATCATTACAAGATTATGCCTAAAATATATTTTTCCCACACATATTGTATTGAAAATTTGTCTTAACTACTTTCAGGAAGAAAAAATATTCCTCTGGTGGATGTTAATAATCTTCCCAATCAAGGTGGAGCTGATGAGTTACCCAATGCCCAAAATCAAATCATTAATGAAGAAGCTGATGGAGCTGGTGATCAAGTGGAAGACAATCACGACATCCCTCTCCTCCCCAAAAGAAATAGAAGAATTCAGAAACCATCAGCTCTTTTGTATTTTCCTGCTGCGTTTTTCGCCCAAGCCGGGGTTTTACTCCTTTACTTTGGGGTCAAATTAACATACGAATCAAGTTACATTATGCTTAAAGGTAAAAAAAAAACTTCAGTTTTATATGCTTACTTGCAGGTAGTTATCTGCTCAGAGCAATAACATATCTGTCTCAATGTTATAGTTCTAATGTTAAGATGTTGTTCAAAATAATTGTGTAGCTAAACTGTTCTTTTGTTATAATAAATATTTCTGTATGTTTCTCTTGTAAGAGAGCTGAAATAGCACTCTGTGTTTCAGTTGCTTTTTGTAAACTTAATAAATCTCTTTCTCTTTTGTATGTATTTTGAGAAAATGAAACCCAGGCTCTACTTTTCCACCATTCATGATTCTTATATCTTCCTTTTAGGGTCCATGACTTTAACCACCTTATTTTTTTACATTTTTACTAAGAACTCTTTTAATTTCCTTATAATAACAATTTGCTTTGATTGCTTTCATACAAATCTCATGTAAAAAAAAATTTTAAATGCTGTCATAAAAATAGCAATGTAGCTACCTTTTCAAAAATTAATTATTTATTCTTTTACAAACCAGGCACTGCTGCTTTTTTTACTGCTCTTTTATCCATGGCATTTCTGGCCCAACAACTTGCCTGTTATGTGTGGTTTGGTGTCATTGTGGCCACAATGGGTTTTGCTGTATCTGGCATATCTGACTATGTTCATAATGTTCCTGATGGCTATGAGAAATATGGAATTGCTGCAGGTAGGATCTGTTCTTCTTATGTTTAAAATATATATCTGAAAGATTTTTGGGTTATTTTTAAATCGATAATTTTATATTGTTAATATAAAATACTCTTCACATAATTACTTACATTTTGTTACTGAAGGTTTTTTTTTAATCAATATTTATTTGAATCAATTAATTCTATTAAAAAACAATAGAGACTAATACTTTGTTATAAATAATTCTTGATCAATTTTTAAATTTTTTCTTAGTCTTTAAACAAGATGATTGTTTTTTGTATTATCTATTTTTAGGGGACCTACTTATTGTTATGTCACAGATCATGTTTGCAACACAGATAATCTATGAAGAGAAGTTTATTCGTAAATATTCCATTCATCCCATGTGCTTTTTGGGAGCTGAAGGTTAGTTCAGTGTGTAGCTATTTATTGTTATTAGCCTACATTTCTAACCAGGACTCCAACATTAGTACTTTATGGATCTTATTTTAAGCTTATAGTTTAACATATTCGTGGGTCAATATAAAGAATGTGTCTATAAATATACATATACATAAATATACATGAGATATACATATACATATAGATATACATTTTTATTATTTTTAAAAAATGGCATGGTACCTCTTTACTTAACCCACATGAAGTCTACATTAAACACAATAATAAAAAAAAAATCCAACTATCTTTACATTTATACTGAAAGAGATTTATAATAATTTAAAAATACTTTATTAATAACTACATAATAAGATTCAGCATATACAAAAATCTTAACGAATACTTCTTACCTAGGCTTAAAGATATCTTGTTTAGTAGATAAACATATAACAATATTTATAAAGTTTATAAAGAAAAGTTTCTTTTTCCAGGGGTATATGGATTCTTTTTTTCCGGAATATTTCTGATTTTGTTCAATGTGTTGGATTTGGTACAGTACAGCACTCTGCCCAATGGAAAACTGGAGGATGTTGCTGATGCTATGTACCAACTGGGCAATTCTTGGGAATGTGCTCTGTCATTTCTAGGTCAGTTTAAAACTTGGTTTGGTTTATTTTGTTTTTTCATTTCTAGGTCAGTTGAAAACTTGGTTTGGTTCTTTTTTGTTTTTTATTTCTAGGTCAGTTGAAAACTTGGTTCGGTTTATGTTGTTTTTTATTTCTAGGTCAGTTGAAAACTTGGTTTGGTTCTTTTTGTTTTTCATTTCTAGGTCAGTTGAAAACTTGGTTTGGTTCTTTTTGTTTTTTTTATTTCTAGGTCAGTTGAAAACTTGGTTTGGTTCTTTTTTGTTTTTTATTTCTAGGTCAGTTGAAAACTTGGTTCGGTTTATGTTGTTTTTTATTTCTAGGTCAGTTGAAAACTTGGTTTGGTTCTTTTTGTTTTTCATTTCTAGGTCAGTTGAAAACTTGGTTTGGTTCTTTTTTGTTTTTCATTTCTAGGTCAGTTGAAAACTTAGTTTGGTTCTTTTTGTTATTTTATTTATGTCTCTTAAAAAATAAATTGGTCTTTTTCTTATTGTTATATGTTTCATTTATATGTAAGTATAAATATTGGTTTGGTTTATTATTTAGTTATTTTATTTAAATACATTATTGGCCTAAGGTATTTAAAATGATTTATTATTGGAAACATGAATGTTTAATTGATTTTTGTTGAATCTTGACAGGCTCCATCATTTTTTACATATTTTACACCTACCTGGGAATGTTTCTAATCCGCGACCAAGGAGCCCTACCTAGGATTATGGTAGAAACATTGCTCTGGACTGTTTACTGGGCCATCGCCCTTGCTGTTAAATGGGATGGATTTTTCATTGCTCAGGTAAATGACTTCAGTGTTTCTTCCAAACCTTTTTCTTCCAGGGGGTACTTGTTTTTAGTTTTTTTTTTGGTGGTGGGTGGGGGATGACACTGGTAAAAGTATGTTTTTTCATATAGATTTCATTTAGATTGAGGGGGGGGGGGGGCTTCATTCCCCCACCCCCAAAGAGATGACTAGAAGAAACTATAAATGACCTTCATAATATATTTTAGACTAAATTATTTGAAATTTAGATATGTAAATATTGTAAAATTAATTTTAAAAATAAATATATATTTATTTATTTATATTTTTATATAATTATATTTATAAATATTCTATTTAGGTACCTGGTTTATGTGTTATCCCTATTGGAGTCTTGATCTACTCTCATATTTTGGTCATCCCATTTGGATCTTGTGGAGAGAAACCTGACGTACAAGTGCCTGATATTTACGCTGCCTTGGATGCAAATGTCAACAATGGTGAAGATAATCCCAATCAGAACGAGCAGGATGGTAACGGTCATATTGTAAATGAAATTGAGGAACAGAGAGAGGACCATGATGCACCTTTAATGGTAGATGTTCATCAGAATGGAGAGGATGATGAGAATCAGAACGACGATCAACTCCTTCTGCCATAAACTATGAGAGGTTTTTTTTACCTAAGATTTCATGCTATAACTTAGCTTTTATATTCCTTATAGCATAATTTAACTTGCATAAATTATTTAGTTAAGAAACTCATACTTTTTTTTAATTTATAACTTAATTATTTAATTTTAAAAATCTTTGAGCGTACATTCCAAATCTAATTATCTCAGTCTGCACTACATAATATTATATTTTTTGTTTTTTTTTAAAGTAATCATTCCATGGCTGCATTTATTTTTGGCTATCAGCTTGCCACAAACTCTTTAACTCATAGCTTGTTTACTCTAATTTTGTCTCTCTTTGTAATTTTTTTTTTAAATTTCCTAAATTAATATTAATTTATAATATTAATTTATAATATTAATTTATAATAATAATTTATAATATTAATTTATAATATTAATTTATAATATTAAGTGGTGTAATGAAGTGAAAGTCAAAGGCACAAGAAGCACAATAAGAGAAAAATTTGAAACAGTTTCATCATTATACGGATTATTAGGTAAAAGAATTATTACACAACCACCACTGCATGTGAATAGTAGATGTTCTTGACATTAATTAGGGAAGAAACAGACAGAGACATCCTATAACAATGTTGTATATTTTTTCTGTACTTGGCCTGATTTCAGTGATTTTATTATTATAGCGTCTTATGTCACCCTACTCAGTTTCTCATAATTCCTCAATCCGTGCCTTACAGTTTTTATGTCCATTACCCTGTGTATATTTTTCCTGCTTACTTAGATGAAAGATACATTAAAAAAACATTTCAAACATGTTTTTGTGCTAATACTAGAATTCTTCCTGTGCCTTACAGTTTTTATGTCCATTACCCTGTGTATATTTTCCCTGCTTACTTAGATGAAAGATACATTAGAAAAACATTTCAAGCATTTTTGTGCTAATACTGGAATTTTGAGAAAGTAACATTAACTGAAACTTTAATCAAAGATTTCTATTCAACCTAAATACATACATTGTGAGTTCAATGTAAATATAAAGCCTCTAAAATATCTAAACCTACACAGAAGATAAATACATATATTCAATAGTTTGTATTACACAACCCTTATATACATTAGAAAAATGATAAATGATTTTGTTAACTTCCAATAAATTATTTCCCATGGTTAAAGAAAACCTGTTATATTTAAACCTGTGAGAAATAATATTGCCATCACCTATTGATTTCCATTTTTTTTTTCTTTATTTTTTACAAAGATATTTATGCTTTAAGAATGTTGCACATATTATCTCACTTCTTTGAATGCACAACTTTTTATAAGTTGAAGTATTGTTTTACAAAATTCATGAAAATTTGTGTTTATGTTTTAAAAATAATGTTTTTTTTTCTTCATCTGTTGATTTCTCAAACAAACAAACCTATTGTAACTTTTTATAATTTTACATAATCTAGATCTAGTATACATTTTTTTTAAAAACAGAATTTTATTTTGATTTATTTTTTCAATCATTTTATTATTGTTACACTAGTCAAAATCTTTTACAATATATTATTCAAAACGCTTGATTCTTAAACCAAATTAAAGCTTGTTCCTACACAGTGTAAATACTTGTATAGGTACTATAGTTTTAATGTGGTTGTTAATTTTATGAAACACTTTACACAGAGGGAGCCACACAAAATAAAATGTTATTGTATTTATATGATCTGTATAAAATCATAAAGAAATGTATTTTTTAAAAAATAAAATAACCCTACTTGTAACTGGAAACAATTATTGATAAACTCAAGTTGGGTTTTGTTTAAAGTTACAGGTATATACACACAATTATTGAAGACTTGTGTTTAGTTTTCAAGTATATATTTTTTAATCAATAGTTACTGCCAGTGTTAGAGAAATGTTTAATGTGGAGCATAATTCATCCAGTCATTGATTATTTAATTAGCTTCGCTCTAATGAAATGTGTAGTGATTTATTGATTAATTAATAAATAACCTGCTAAAGATAAATACTTTATATTTTATCTAATTTACTAATTGCTAAATTCAATTTTAATTTTATTACTTTGATTTAACTAAAAAAAAGTTATCACTGTAGGCTATGTGTAATCAATTCCAAATTATATTCAGGATTTAGTGAGTGTTAGGTTCTCTCAGAATTTCTGGTATCATAGCTAACTTGTACCATGGAAGGTAAAAATTGATTGGATGTTATTTTGGTTACTTAAACCAGTAATAATGTGGTCACAGATTTAGATACCAGAAGTTTACATAAACAATTTAGAGAAATCCATTTTCCCTTCACTCCATCCACATATTTGAAAGAAATCCCTAAGAAATTTGTTTGCACCATTTTAGTCTAGAAACCACCAAATACATGTGTTTTAGTCATCTAAAAAGAATTGGCTATAAACCTAAATAGTTTAATGTAAAAAAAAAAAAGAAAAATTGTAATCACATAACTTCCATAATGAAATCATTATAGGGGATTGTATTGTTCCTCGTTAGATCCCAGCAATGTTCTAGACCAGGGGTCTCCAAACTACAGCCAGCTGTCCGGATGCGGCCCGCGATGTCCTCTCATCCGGCCCGCGGAGATCTTTTTGTCCACGTAAAAATTGTTTGTTGGTGATGGCTGAGGAACTTTGCCCAGAGAAATCAAAGCAGAGGCGTAGCGACCCTTCCCGGCGCCCGGGGACATACTTCCAATTTGGCGCCCCCACGAGAGCAAATTTTCGATTTGCGCCCCCCCCCCTCGAACTTTTCATTTGCACCCCCCCCCCCTCGAACTTTTCATTTGCACCCACCCCCCTTCAAACTTTCGATTTGCACCCCCCCCCTCGAACTTTTCATTTGCACCCCCCCTCAAACTTTCAATTTGGCGCCCCCTAAGGTCGGCGCCCGGGGACATATGTGTCCCCCCCCCCCCCCCCTCGCTACGCTACTGAATCAAAGACATGCCTGGGAGAAACTGGCCCCCAAACAGAAATTTGATAGTTAATGCGGCCCTCGGACTGAAAAGTTTGGAGACCCCTGTTCTAGACCAGATGGTAGCCAGGAAATTTACAAAAACTACAATTTCCAAGTTTTGAGGATACTTGTTCTTATGTTTACTTTGCTAATCTCACAGCAATTAGATCTTCCATTATGCACTATTGTTTTTTTAACATAGTTTGATTCTCAACCTTTAAGAAATATTAGCAGTTATAATTTTTATTGTATATGCATTTTAAAATTCTTAAGTAAGACCTAGATTTACATGGCTTCAAATGTATGCATTTTTAAAAACCACAGAAATGCTATTCTATATTTTTGTAAATAAAAAGTAAAAAACAATAGTATGCCATCTTAGTATTTGTCATATATTTATGCAACGCCTTCTCTTAATTTTTTTATATTTTTTTAAGTTCATTAAGCATTAATTAACTTAAAATCTAACAAAAAATCTATCAACTTTTGTGTCGCAAGTAAGTCTTAATTTCTTGCTACTACAAGTGTGGTCAAACTGTATTTTGATCTAGTGTGCACCAAGTCTCACTTTGTCTGTAGTCACATTATTTGGATCATGTGAGTTTGTGTAGTGAAATCTAGAGTACATCTCAGGAACTGATTCATCATGCCTCTTAATTCCCTTCCTTTTTTGCAACTTGCCAGACAGAAAAATTTGCTGATAAGTTTCTATTGAGGATAAACTTCCTGTTTCTCTTGTCTCAATCAGATCTTGAAAACTTCTTTGTTTGTTTTAAAAGGTTAAAGATAGACCTGGGTCAGGTCCAGAAGTCAAAAGACGAGTAGTAAATGTGATGGCACAGACTAAAGATCTAATTTAAACTAAATTTACATAGGTATAAAGCTACCACAGGAGGCATTTACTGTATATTGACTATTTTTTATTATTATTTGAAACATGAAATGAAAACATAACATCAGAACAAAATTAACAACACAATATTTTAAAATAATTCTAAAATATGTTTTATTCTATTTATAGATATAGAAGTAGTATATGCAAATTATTTACAGCTTATGTATGCAACCGGTGTAGAGATGAAGCAAACAATACCGGCCAGGTGAACAGGTAAACTGTATAATGCAAGACTTACCTCAGCTGGTGCCATTAAGCTCTTGAGGAAGAACAGAACCACAGAGAGAGAAAAAAATTTCTGTAACAACTCGTATTTAAATCAATAATAAAAAAAATTATATGACATTAGAGACCACAACATCAAAAAAGAGAAGCTTATGAATGACATAACCATTTCAAAACGTGGAATACGTTTATAAATATATTGTCGAAACAAATAAAAAGCCATACCAAAGAAACAGACAACCGTTCTACTCAAGCCTAGGTACATGAAAGTAAACCTTAAAAATATGTTGATGTGTTCCATTAGATTAACACATTGAGTTTAAAATGTACATTGAAAAATGCTTTGACTTTAAAACAAGAAAATGTGATTCAACCAGGATTTAAAACAAAGCACGTTAACAAACAACACGTATAAGTTTAAATTATTCTTACTGCACCCAGCTAGCAAGAAAAATAATTCTCAATTCATTTTTACATAAACAAGTAGCTTTTAAAAATCTGACTTTATAAATAATTTTTAACCAACAAATCAAGTTATCAGGATCTTACTTTGAAATAAGTAATTATATTAAATTTGTACAAATATGGTCAAAAACAAAAAATATACATTAAGTTCATTTTTATTTATATTAACTTAAATTTTTTTCTAATTTTAGTAACTTAATAAATTAATTTATCTATGAATTGTGGGCAGCCAGTATTATTTTATAAACAAATTTACAATTCTGAGGCCTACATACTGACAATAGATAAACACCACATAATTTTATAACCCAAAATAACACTTATGTTCATTACAGAGGAATATTCTGATCAAAATATAATGACTTGTTTAGATATTCTAAAACCTAGATCCATGTGTAAATACAAATGTATAACAGGTAAGCCTTTTCTGATAAAAAAAACAAAAAAAAACGAATGCACATGGAAACCAAAAGCATAAGTGGGCCATTGTTAGCTTGACCTAGATTGATCATAAAAATAGCCTGCAATAGTTAACCATCTGGCATTTCTCAGGTAACTGTAAGCATTAGATCTCACCACTTTGTGTGTTCCTTACTACTAGAAAAAGCACCACAAATGTAAATAAGCAGTTCATGATAATCTAAGAACTAAAAGGCTAGAATTAAAAAGTAAAACTCTGCTCAGCTTTTTAATTTAAAAACAAATGCAAATTGACATTGTCTTTTATTTTAGTTTGTGAATTTTATTGTTGCCACAAGAAAGTTACAATTACATGTTACATAATTATAAGAATCTATTCCCATAGCTCTAAATCCTAGCGCATGTTCTTCAATAATGAAATAGCTATTTTCCTTTGTAATAACACTGAAATGACATTAAAAACAAAATCCTTATAAAAAATAAAAGTATGTGTATTTAAAAAAATACTGTTGAAAATAAGACTGCACTGTGATATTGAGAGGATGTGTACATGTTATGGGATGTACGTGAGCCAAAGTTAATTAAAATTGAGCACAGCGAAAACAAAAGTAAAAAAAAACCCACATGCTTTTCTAGTAAGGGATTTGTAAAATAAAAAAAATATATTGTGCTTTCACTGATTTTTTTTTAAATTTAAAAATAATCATGCAATCTCACGCATACAAATAAAAGAAGATAAAAACAATTACCTGTATAAAAATGTATATACCGCATTAGAATGTCATATTCTAATTTACTAAGACCATATCAATTAAAGGTACACTTTGTAAGCAAAAGTAGTTTTAAGTCGTAACACTAACATATGTTTTTAGAGTAAAGTAACAAAAAATAAATAAGTAATACAAGTAAAAATCATCTAAAAATGTAGATTAAAAAGTCTGATAGCAAAATTAGCACACACACAAAAAAAAAAACAGAATAAAAAATAAAGAAATATGTCACAGAATTATCAACAATGATTTCACTAGATAAGAAAGTTTGAATGAAAATATTTGTGTATGTAAGAAGAGTTAAGGCATGCATCAGACAAGATTTAGAGTGAATTGAAAAGATTACAGCATGCAGTTGTAATGATCATCACTTTATGCTTAGTCAACAAAATTTAAGAGATTAAATGACCAGTTGATATTACATGAACATAGTTTGTAAAATTGCATAAAAAATACATGCAAAACTATTGGAGAATATAGCATCATTACAATATCAAGGCACATGGTTACTGTTTCCACTAAGTCTTGAGAACAAATATATTGATTTTATTTTGTACATATTTACAGAAAGAAAACAACACCCAATCAAAGTATTAGCGATGGAATTTGCTTTTCATGCGTCTGAACATAAATTTGCTTTTATTATAAGCGGAAGATAATTAGATGGTACATTGATTAAAAACTGACATAACGTGATTATATTTAATTAAGTTGAGTTAGTATATAGAGTTCAGTGAATTCCTTTATACTTGGATATTACGCAAAACATAGACCTGGTTGTTTATGATTTTATTTTTATAAAGTTCGAGTGAGTTTTAACTGGCCGGTGCATGAGAAGATGTCAATGACTTTTTTTACTTGACTTAAAATAAAAGTCATATAAAATCAAAACTTTTCTCATCAGTTAGATCCATGTAATTTTACATGAGTGCACGTACAGGAAAAAATACAATTTCTAAACTAGTAAATGATCACAAAACATGAACTGAAACCTATTATAATAATACATGCTATATTCCAGTAAGCTAGAAAAATACACAAGTTCCAAACTAAAGTACACAGTATATACCTGTTCAGAAGCAGACACATGTTTTGTTATTTCTAGTATAAATGGAGTAAGTGCCAGCATACACTCATGGCATTTTATAATTTTCATTGGGTACATTAAAAAATGAAATAGTTGGCAGTGAGTAATCAATAGATCAAAGACAAAATTAATGGTTTCATATGTTTTAATCAGAGAAGAAGGGTGAAGCATGAGGCTTATCAGTATGCTGGCTTTAGAACAAGTATTTACCATAACCTCTACTAAACTTAAAGACTTCTACAAGTTGGCATCAGAGGTAGACAGGGAAAAAAATTGATTCTAGAAATTATAAGAACCAAGGGCCCCAAACATAAAACCATACATATTAACACGATTTATCTTGAATTCATAGTAAAATTGGTTCCAATGTATAAATGTTACTCAGTGTTTCCAAATCTTTTAGCCACAAAAATATTTTGTAGGATACCTAGACTGTAAATAAAGTAGAAATGCCCAACAAAAAATTCAGTGGAAGTCTTTTTAAAAAAATTAATTTTCCACAAATAAACAAAGCTACTATAAATATTTGTACATGAATGCAAGAATAATTAACATTCAATTGTTTGAATAAGTTGGATGATGATGAAAGAAACTGTACATTATATAATTGATTTTATTTTTAAAATGTTCTATGATTTAGCACTGTTTACAACAAAGAAAACAATACAAGTCCATTTATATTCCAGTTCTATTTTACATAACATTATTAAGCACCACAAAGTAATCACATCATAAAATGATTTAAATTTTTAAAGAAAAGGGTTCTATTTATAACAGGAAATATATTAGATATTAATATTATATATTTATTTATTTTGTACAAAGAAGAACAATTGTTTAGCTGTAAAAATTATTCTGGAGCAGCACGGCAGCTGGGATATTGTCAGTGTCACTCATGTTGAGTTACCACAAAGCCTTTACTACATTATCAGGTAATCCAGGCTACATGACCACTATATACCAATATAAAAACCATGTAATTATGCAAGTGATTTAAAGTCCTACTTCTGAAAGCATGATTTTTTTTTTAATTTAACTGTAGGACAACCCTTCTATGAGCTGTAGAATACATTTGATAATGTGTTAAACATGCTCACAGAATTGCATCATAAAATAAAACAGGTTTTCCCAGCACATTATAAATTATAACAACATGAACTTAGTTGACACAACAATTTGTGCTTTCTATAATTAGATAACATTTTCTTGGAGGTATGGAAGAGATGTACTGGTCATCATAAAATATTAGGTATTTAGATACACATTTATTCACATATTTCACAGGGAGGATGATATAGATGAATACAAACATAGAATTTGACTTGATCTTGCCATTTTAAAATTTAATTGTACATGATATAACTCTGCAACAGCATTTGTCGTATGTTCTTTAGATTTAAAAATAAATCCTATGTGTACACAAGTTATTTTTTTTTTACTGAGATTTAGCTAGAGCGTCTTTGGACTTGTCAGAGTTGGAGTCTCTGGTGAGGCTCTCAATTTTTGGTAAGGGTTGAGGATAGTAGTCTCTAGATGGCGTGACGTCGTACGTCTGGGAGTACGGCTGACTTGGTGGCCGGGTCATCTGTGTGCTGTACTGCTCATCTCGGTAACTATCAGGTGTTGCATACCTCGGCGTGTCAGGTGTTGCGTACCTTGGTGTATCAGGTGTGGCATACCTGGGCGTGTTTTCAGATCTGTAGACATCTGTCTGAAGGTGGGCCTGTGAGCTGGTGAGGGCATACTGCCTGTCTGGCTGTGGGGGCAGCATAATATTTGAATCTCTGGGGCTAGTCAGAGGTCTTTCAGATGACATCAAAAGCGAGCCATCGTACTCCTGCGCTCTTTGGCGTGCGCTGTAGTACTGCTTCTGCTGCACACTGGCGCTGTAGGATGGAGGCGCTGCTATGTCGTGCTCAGAGTACATCGGCAGCACTGGTTCGGGGTCTGTTCTACTGTAATCGGAAGTGCTTTGGATCTGGCTGTAATCCACAGGCGCAGCTTCCTGATAGGTGGATGGCGGGACATTGTAATGCTGGAGAAGTTTTTTCACTATCTCTGTCCCTGCGGGGTCAGGTTTAAACTGGGCTAGTGCCTCGTAATCTTCCTGCTGGTACTCTGTGTCTACACTCTGACCAGTGACGTCGTACTGGTACTGCTGTTGTGAAGAGTAGTAACTGTCCATGTTGCTGGGGTACTGGGGTGTTTTACCCAACGCCAGATTGACCGGAACAGTCCGCAGCTGATCCTGGTTGCTAGGCGAGTACTGGTCTGAGCTGGAAGACCTAGGGTAGTATTTGACCTGCGTGTAGTAGTCATGGGAGGAGGAAGATGTATCAGCATGAGTAGAGCTGTAGTCTCGCTGGTGTGGACGCTCAGTGTAGCTTGCTGAACTATCGTAGTATTCAGAGTCTACATTAGAGCGAGTCAGGGCGTAACTCCCACCTTGTTGAAGATACGCGGAATTATCTTTATCTTGAGACGCCGCTGATAAACCAATTTCTTGTTCATCTAGATTTTGGCTGTAAATTTGGCCACTGCCGCTGACTAACCCCTGGCCACTCATGGTTAACATCTGGTCATTCAAGCTCATCCTCCTAGCCAAGACATTATCTGCATGATGAGAAACAGCCTGCTTCTCACCAGCAGGGTCTAAACTGTTTCTCCTGATGACACTTGTTTCCCTAGCAACTTGGCTCATGCTGTTCTCTGTGCTGGAGCTGGGTCCAGGCATGCTGGCCCCACTGTTGTCCAGCTCTTGAGAATCAGTGCTTGGTTTTTTCTTCCTTTTTTTCTTCTTCGGTTCAATCTCAGAGCCATCGGCAGCTCTTTTCACGTTATCAGGGTCCACAATGCGCGGCTTCTTGAATGAGCTGGGGTACTGTGTTACACCATCCACAACCAGGAATGGTTCTGTTTCTCCTCTGTTTGTGTGTCCTTTCTTATGGCTGACAAAGGAGCCAGAGTGAGCAAAAGCGTAGTAACAGATGGGGCATTTGTAAGGCTTCTCCCCAGTGTGGGTGCGCTCGTGTGACTTGAGCTCCTGGCTGGTGTGAAAGGTCTTGTCGCAGAAGGAGCAGAGTTTAGACTTGGCCTTGTTGTGACGCTGCATGTGTAGTGTGTAGCCATTCCTGGAGGTCAGCTGGCTGTAGCAGATCTCACACTGGAATGGCTGGAGCTTGTCTGGCGTGTTCTCCGCTGTTCCATCCTGAGAACATCTTTCCGTGTTGCCGTAAAGAGATTCATCCGAGACTTGAGAATCCCCCTGGGCTGAGGTTAAGCTGGACTTGGGCACAGTGTCTGCATGAAACGGAGACAGCGTCGACATGACAGGCTGCGGGGCGTTCAGCTGATACTGTGGTTTGGTGGCACTTTGCGACAGGCCTGTGATCTGATAGGACGGGGTTCTGGGGGAGCTGGAGATGTAAGCCCCTGGGTCACTGGCTAATACAGGGGTGCCATCTCTGCTGTAGTGAACAACGCTGTCAGCAAATTCATCATGGGAACTATCTCTTCTACCAACACTGACTGGCTCTACATTGGCATCTTGGTGAAACACTGATGCTGAATTGTGTTCCAGCATAGCAGTGTTATCTTGCACGTCATCCTCGTTAACCCTGACCTCCGAACTCACAACCGTCACATCGTCTGCCATAGACCCAGTCGCCTTGCCATGTAATTTCTTCTCAGCTTTCAGCCTGCGCAGCTCCTCTACCTGTCTGTGAGTCTCTTGTTGCTTGAGAATCTCACTTTCATCTAAGCTTGCTGCTAGTGGGTTGGCAGAGGATGATGCCCTTCTCTGGCGCTTGCTGGGAGATGTTTTGTCGTGGTCTTTTTCTGCAGCATCAACCTCAGGTTCTGGATAACAAAAGTTACTTTCTCTTAATAATCACACATTTTTAAATCTCTTTTTTTTAAAGCAAGAAAAAATAAACAGCTACCAATCACAAACCTACACACAAGTTTTATTGACTTAAAACATTACATATTTACCTTTTGCATGTGAAGGTGCTGGTTGTGGAAGCTGATCACTATGACATTTTTTCATGTGTAAAAGAAGACTTGTTTTCTGTGTGTACTTCTTCTCACAGAGGTGACAGGTCACTTTGTAATCTGGGTCATGGGTCCTTAAGTGACGATAAATGGTTGCGTTTCCAAACATTTTCCCACAGGATTTGCACTTGTATCGACGAACTTCATTTTCTGTGATTATCTGTTTAAAAAAAAGGGAAAAATGAATCTTTTATTTTTCAAAATTAATAAATTTCAGAAGAATGGAACTAATTTTTAGTAAAAAATAGGGATAATTTTTTTTTTAAATTATTTACAAACTATTTAAGAGTAGAAAATGGAATTTTTTTGGGTGTTATAAAGTAATTTAACACTATATGGTCAAACTAAAAACAGGAACCTACATCATACTGATGCTTGCGTTCTTTCATAACCTTCTTGTCCTCTTTCTTCACTTTGTCATCCTTGGCTAAAGGACTTTCAAGCTGTGGGGTGTTGTCCATCTGTGGTGTACCATCTAGACAGGCTGAGCGATCCAGCAGTGCAGGACTTTCTATGTCCCCTGCTGCTTGCATCCCCATCCTGTGGGGAGTCTTGACTTGACTCTCCAAGCTCTTAGGTACACTTACAGGCCGAGGCGTGTGACCTGTTATCCCAGACAAGTCTAAATTAGCCGAGCTGTCCATGTTTCCTTCCTCCATGTCCAGATTGACAGTGTGGACCAAGTTAATGCTGTCCTGCAGGGAGCCGTCCGGGCAGGCTCCAGGCCCCTCTTGGCTACTGTCATCGTAAGCAGCGACAGCTGAGAACAGTGTGTTAGGAGACAGCTCCTGCCGTAACTTGTTCTCCAGGTAAGCAAAGTCCTGCTGCCCCAGGTTGAACCCTGACAACTCTTGACTGAAGCCACCAGCGTTGGAAGTGACTTGCCTGAGGAAACCCTGAATTAGATTCTCCTGTCTGGCATCTGTGAAGTCTGAGTCCTGGGGAACACCATTTCCATAAAATGTACCGGAGCCTGTCTGGTCTTGTGACTGGTATGTAGGGGTCTGTGTGTTTGGTGTCCCAGAGTCTAGGCTATAATTCTGATTCACTGTATGGCTCTGAGGAAATATATCATTATATATATAAACTGACATTAAATGTGTGGGGTTTTTTTCCAAATTCATGTGTGTTTTTTAATCCACATGACTACTATTATTTACTAATTACAATATTCTTTATTTGTCTCTCACATTTAAGACAGTTATTTTTACTTATTTAAAAAGTTATTTACAAAACCAGTAGAAAATCCATCCATGCAAGAAACCATTTTCATTGGTCTTTTTTTTTTAAATACAAGAGCAATTTAAAAAAAAGTTAATTTCTTAAGAAATTAAAAAGATTTCTTTATGATGAAATAATGAAACTTGTAACTATTTTATATGTATATAAACACAATAAAAAATATTTCTTTAACTTTTTCCTAAATAAAAAAGAATTAAAGATACAATTACCTGTGATGATGTTTGTGGCAGGACAGGTGTGGAGTTGCTACTGGGAAAATATTCCTTACTCCATGACTCCACAGCTTGATGAGATGTAGATGATCTCCATGTCGCTTCTTGTGATGTTTGTGGCGCCGTCCAGGTCAGTGAGTTTTGATGTGACAGGGGTAGTGATGAAGTAGACGACATATTCCATGTTGATGAAGATGACGATAAAGGGGAGGATGACAGTAATGATGGTGGGGTGGTGTTCCATGAAGGGGATGGTCTGTATGTTGAAGGGGAGGCTTGGGGCTGAGAAACTGGCCATGTTTTTTTGGAGCTCATTATTCCCGGTTCTCCAACTGATGGTGGGGGCGTGGGAACCGGCGGAGGCAGTTGCAACGGCCATGTTGCTGAAGAAGTTTGTGCTGTAGGTGGCCAGGTGGTTGATGGGGCAACGTTGGAAACCCCAGTAGAGGGTGTAGTCCTTAGTGGGGAATACGATGATAGCTGTGGCTCCAAGTTGGCAGGGTGTGGTAGTACTTTGGATACTTTGTCTGCAGAGGTTAGTGCTGTGGGTATTCTGGATTCAGACTGCTCGTTCCCTGAGGAAGTAGTTCCCCATCCTAAAGCTGTGGTTGATGTTTTTAAAGCGCCAGACATGAAGTTTTGTGGTAAAAGTATGCGATCATTTCTTCCTCCAGGCACAAAGTAACCACTTATCGGAATAAATGTATCTAAAAAAAGAATTTAATTTTTTATTAAGTAATAAATAAGAAAATGCAGTTTTTAACTGTCAAGAAGCAAATAAAAGTAGTATTGTTATTAAATATAAAATATAATGATAATCCAATTTCTTAAATCATAATTTTTTCAAGGTTTTTTTTTTCGGGCTAAATAATTATATTATAATTTATACTGTGAAGAACAAGGTTCACAAAAATTCAAATGTTTGCACTACTTCCCCCCTTTCCACATGCACTCCATAAGATAAACCGCTACACCCTAAACTCTGATATGGACATCCATAAAACACTATCTACATACATACTGACATTCAATTTTGTTTTCAAATTTTATATCCTTTTTTTCTATCTTAAATTTTCACTTTGTATAGAAACAAAAAAAAATTGTCAACAAAATATAAATGAAAGAATTCACAACAAAGTAGTTTAAATAACCTACCTTCTATCTCAGATACATCTTCTCCATACACAGGTACCAGTTTATACATGACCATCTTTTGTCTGTTAGACTCCAAATGGAATTGTGTTTGTCCAAAATCTTTTGTTTGATTTACCACAGAAATACTGAGATCAGTATCATTAGGACCAGGTGCAACATTAGTGTCCAATGAAGAAGTTTTTATCACTGGTTTATGCTGTGTATTTTCTTCTATATTACTACCAGATTTTATCACAGACACATCAGTGTCCATTGCTTCTGCTGTTTTGTGAAGCTCAGTTTTTTTACTCTCCATGACATCAACAGATATTTTTTCATCAATAATTTTTAATTCCTTTACTTCTTCCTGAGCTGATGGCTTTTTATTGTCACTTTGCTTCTCGTCATTTTCATCACTGACTGGATCTGCTTTATCAGTTTCGGCAACACTATCAGTCTTCAATTTTACAACAAGATTTTTATTGCCTCTAAATTTTCTCCATCTTTTTCTCTTGTAACCAGATTTCAGTTTTCGAGACTTTGATTTAATGACCTTTCTCTTTGGGGTCTCTTCAGAAAATGAAGTGTTTTTCTCATTACCCGAAGTATCTGTTGTTGATTCAGTTTCATTTTGTTTTTTATCATCACCAGGGACAGATTTTGAATCTACCTCACCTAAAATAGAATCTTCAGTCTTCTTTTTAATGCTCCTACGCCCCTCAGCAGGAGTTGTTCTTGTACCAGTAGCCTCGGAACTGGAATTTGGTGTCTCTTTCTCAGAGACCAACTGACGTGTAGTCATCCTACGAGGTGTGCTTGCAGAATAGTTGAGATTACGCAATTCTGAAGCTGGACTTTTGAGGGACCTTTGCAATCCTCCTTTCACCTGGGGTGCTGAGGTTGCTTTTTGAGATCGACCACCAGTAGTTGCAGGAGTTCTTGTTACCCTTTTACCTTGGACAGTAAGTTCCTTAGAACTTCCACGGGTATCTATTTTAGAAATCTTATCCTCAGTATCTGAGTCTTTGCGCTTTTTAGCTTCAGCTGGCTGATCTTCATCCTTCCGCCTTTTAACCCGTAGTTTATCATCTATTTTTTCTACAGCTTGCTTTTTGTCGAGTGGTTTATCATCAGGGCCTGAAGATTTTGACTTCTTGACAGTAGACTTCTGATCTGTTTCATCATTTTGTTTTTTATTTAAAGATTTATCGGCAGATTCATCCTCTTTACGGTTGGCACTTCGGGTCGTCATTCTTTCTTTACTCTCTACAGAAGAGGAAGAATAACTGGGAGATGTTCTTCTGCTAGACCTAGCACTTTTCACAGAAGAACTGTCTTCTACTGATTCAGTACCTTCTTTATAATCTATTTTAGTTGACTGTCTTTTTGATCTTCTTGCACTTTCCTCATTATCCTCTTTCTTTGTTTCTTTCTCTTTAACCAAAAGTCTTTGAGAAAGCCTTCGTGAGGACATTTCCTGCATATCTAAGGCTTTAGTGGTTGCGTCTAATTCACTTTCATTTTTTTGATGGTCGCTTTTTTTCTTCCCCACTCCAGTTTTCAAATCTACGTTATTTGATTTTGTAACATCATCAGGCTCTGTTGAATTCCTAAGTTTTTCATCTTTTTGCGATAATTTGTTTTCATCTTCACTCTCATTTTTCAAGGTGCCTTGTAAATTCTTGTGTGTTTGTCCTTTTTTACTGGGCGTGGGCAACTTTTTCTGTCCGCTGAAAGTGGGCGTAGTTTTCTGATTTTGTTTGGCGTTTTTTCTGGCAGGTTGGTCTTCTTGCTCAAAAGGTTTTTTGGGTTTCCTTTGCCTGACCTCTCGTTTTGGTACATCACTACTACTACTACTACTACTCAAGAGATCTTTACCGTCTGCTTCTTTTCCTACGCCATCCCCATCCTGATTCTCACTTTTATCTAAGGTCTCATTAAGTTTTTTGCGAGTCAGTCTGTATTCAGTGGTAGAGGACAACGAAGAAGTATCATCTTTCTTTTCTATTTGCCCTTCTTTAGAATTTTCCTCACTAGGGCTTACTGTTGCCTCTGATGGTGAAACCTTGTTTTGGTCTGGAACTGATTTATTTTCCTCTGCAACTGTCTTGACATAACACTCACTGGCAATTTTAGACAAGACTTTTAAGCCATCATCCCTCCTGGGAGCCTCAGATCTTTGTTGTTGTGGAGTGCTGGGGTGAAGATCTTCAACCCCTGATCTTTTACTTAGGGAATCTTGTGATTTAGTCTCTTTTGTACTCTCCACCACTTGTTGAGCGTTACTTGTATTTGAGTTACTTGCCAACACAGAGGAAGCTGATGTGTCTCTATCTACCCCAGCTTGGATGGCTGGTGTGCTGTCAGGTAGGGATGCACTGGACTGAGAGATACTTGAGGGTGTAGGGTACAGCTGCATTTCTATTGTTGGCTTTCCAGAAACCTGACTAAACTCAGAAGAAGCTTGCCACTGGATTCCCTGGTGCATTTCTGAGCTGCTACTCGTTGCCCCAGAAACTGCTGGTCCCTTTGGATAAACCACATTCTGCCTGGAAGCATCTTGTGACTGGGATGAGATTCGACCCGCATCCTTGGAAGGTTGAGCATTAGAATCTTGAGTTGGCTGTTGTACATTTTGATCTGGCTTTGGTTCTACGTGCTGCAGGGGTTGCCATATAGTGCTAGCATTTTGAACAGAAGGCACAGGTACAGTGGAAGACAGAACAGACGGTGATGGCAGCTGAGCAGACATGCCTGAGCCTGGTCTCTGTTTGGCTTTGACGCTGGTTTGTTTACGTTCAGGCGGACGATGATGAATTACCTGACCAGGGCTAAAAATTTGGGAAGGCTGGCTTGATGGAAAGGAATAAGGTATGGGTTCATCATCATCATCATCAAAAGAAAGATCAGAACTAACCTGCTGCATCTGGTAAACATCATGATGTGTTGATGCTAAAGAAAATAACTTATTTTGTTCCATAGAGGAAGAATATCCAGATTTTGTATGAGGCACATCAGTGCTTTCAAGGGGTAATTGAACAGACTCTAAATTAACCGTAACTGGGTGACCTATGGGAACAAGTGTATTTATAGCCTGATTCATCTGCTCAGCTACAGCTTTGCTCACAGGCAACTGCCCTGAGAAACTTTTCCCCTGACCAAACATGTTTGAAGTAAGAGCCGGAGATGGCTGTGATGTGTTCTGAGATTGCCATGAAACAGCTGACTGGCGAGGGCTGTGTGACTGTTTGGTCTGAGGGCTTGTGGTTGGTTTTGAAAGAGATGGGTGAGGGTTGGAGGTGGGAACAGAAACAACCGTCTTTGATGACTGCCGGGGGCTAGTAGCCTGCCGGGGATAAGGACTCACAAACTGGCTTGGACTTATCGAAGAAGGGTGAGGGCTGACAGTTCTACGGGGGCTTATAGACTGTCTTGGGCTTGCTGGTTGCCTGGGGCTTACTGGCGAGTTTAACATTTTGGCTATTTCAGGGTGCTGTTGGTTTAACGATGGGTTGTGATGAACATGAACAGAAGTGGGTGTCACTGATCTAAATGCGGTAGTTTGGTCTTGTTTACTTAGTCCAATCTCAAGCTTACTTGTTTGGTCATTGTTCTGCTGCAAAATTTGCTCTACCCTGGGCTGTTGGAGCAGCTGTTCTGTTAGCTTAGGAGGATGGTGTTGGTGTGAAGTCTCAGGCCTGGAAGTAACACTGTCTGAAAGGTATGGTGTAGAATGTAATAAGTTGTGCTTGCTTTTTTCTGGTTGTCGACACCCAGGTTCTTTGTACTGCTCCTGAGCAGCACTTTTTACATGTTCCTTGGGGGGAAACTGTGATAAAAACTGCATGCTATGATCAACATTAGGTTGATTTTGCTGAACACTATCCAAGGTGTTGGACCTCTGGTTGACGCTCTCTGTATAAGTTTCCTGTGGCTGCTGATGGTGAATTATTAATCCTTGATTCTTTAAGAACCCTAGTGTTTTTGTTCGATCACCACCCACAAATGGTACAACAGTTTCATGCTTTTGTTCAAATTGGGGTTGATGTATTGGATTTGTGTGCTGTGCTCTTGACCTTTCAGCGAGGTTTCTAAACTGTTGCAGGTCTGAGTCTTTTAGCTTCATGTTGGGTTGTTGCGCCTGCTCCAGTAGAAATACTTGTGATGGTTCTTGATGTTTTTGTACAAATTTTTCCTGCAGATTGTACTCTTGTGAGGGGCTAGCGGGGTATGTGCTACCCAGACCCTGAGAAAGAAGATTATACTCATGGGCCAACGTGCTTTCTGGTGAAAAAAGATTTGCGTTGATGCCGTCTGGTTTTCTCTGCATTGGAAGTTGACACATTCCAACGGGTATAAAATCATTGTCATCATCATCATCATCAAAGGTCACTGGAAGTTTTTCTGCTGCTTCTTTTTTCCGACTCGCCCTCGATCTGGGCTTTTTAGTGCTCACAGGTTTGGTTTGGACAGTCACTAGTTTTTCAGAAGAATTTGACCCTGCAAAGTTAGACCTTGGCTTGGAGGAATGAGGCAGGTTCCCAGAGGTTGAGGGAATAGTGGTGTACTGAATAAAAGGAGTCATTGAGGTGCTGGTAGCAGGGCTGTTTGTGGATGGTTTATGCACCTGTTTAACGTTTGAAGGAACATTCACAGTTCTGAAGTTTTGGCCAGCTGGTTTTTCTTTTTTAGTATACAACAGAGGAGATGTTTGGATGCTTACATTTAAATCATGTGCTGATGGAGAAGAGGTGTGAGTAATAGTTACAACAGGGCGGTCAGTGTACGTCTTTCTGCCATCTCCACTTGTAGAGGTATTAGCAGCAGAGGCTGAGTTGGCAGCTGTTTGACCTCTGTTTAAAACTGTGTAAGGATGTGAAAAGGGGGATGACTTTGCAGTCTGCTGTTTGTAATCTGCTTGTGGGCCCTGGCGAGAATCTGACTTGACAATGTTATTATTATTATTATTTTGATTAGCTTTATAACCAGAAACAGCAGGCTGGGGGAAGGTGCTTACGTGTGTTGTACATAATGATGATAATAGTGACGATGCTGAAATTATCATCTGGTACTCTTTTACGTTAAAACTTTCTTCACTTTTATTAATCCCTGACTGCTCTCTAGCTTGGGCGCTGCTGTTATGACTACCAGTTTGGTAGTTGTCTGTGAGTGAGGACTGGGTAACCAAACCTGGCAGAAAATAAGAAGAATCATGTTTTTCAGCAGGGCTGTTTACATTATTCTTCTCATAAATCCTGCTATCATTTTTCACTGCTGTGTTGGTCTGCAAAACGCTGGCGGTACTGTCAGTGCTGGGGTCTCCGACATAAAAACCACTGGTACTGGTGTTAAGTGCTGATGTACCTGGGTGAGATTTCCCAGAGTAAGGTATGTTGCTGGAAGCTGCTTGATCCTGAATGGTGGGGAGTTGGGTGCAAAGGTTTGATGCACCCTCATCCATTGCAAAATCACTTTTAGTTACTTAACTCATAACATTTCTAGCCTAGTGTAGTAAGGTGTATCATTTGGATCTGTGAGCTATTATTTCTTTAATATTTTCCTGCATGATGTTTGATGTTCAGTACATGTGGTAACCTGAAAGAGATTTTAACATAATTATTTTGTATATATTTTATTCATTTAATTTTGCAGGCAATGTCTTATTCATTATTGTATAGATCTACTTGATTTAAAGTAAAATATATGTAACACATTCTTTTAATAACAATAAGCTACAAAATATGCATGAGTATATTGATCATGTATGACTGAAAGTAGGTTTCAATAAATAAGCATTAATTACTTGGAATATTTCATCTTAAAAATACAGACCTATGCTTTATGAAGTCAAGATTTCAGATTTACATAGTCACATTAAATTTGAAATGATATTTCATTTATCAAACCTGTATTGTGTTTTGATTAGCTATCTTTTAATAAGACGTGTTTATTGCTTCATCATAGGGGAATGTATAATATTTACAAACAACACAGAACAGAAAATACCAGAATTTAGTCAGACTATAGATATTTTGTTCCCAGGAGCAAAATATTTTTTTGTTTTTAACAATTTTCTTAGTCTTAAGTGTAGTTCATATTGATATAATCATGTTAAAACCTATTTTTCTTTCCAAACAAGTTTTTCTTAATTTTCTACAACAAGGATATTTTTTAAATACATTCTAATGAACCTTGTTGAATCTTGTTGAAATAATGAGGGATGGAGTAATGATGGTAGCTGAAAGACATCCAAAGTTAGAATGTGTGGTCTGTATCAAAAATCTTATTTTTGTTAAGAACTTTTTCAGATAAAATGGGGGATAATGCAGGGTTAGTTGTGCAATAAAAGACTTCATGGTTAGGATTTTGTTTATGGCTTATTTTATAAAATAACCTTGAGACCCTAGTGATATTAAGATATAATAAGGCTTATTGAACAGTGCTATTTACTTTTTCTCTTCCATCTCTCAAGTACTTTAAAATTGCATGCTGTTAGTGTTAATAGAGAGTAAGTTTCAAAATGCTCAACTTTATAATTTATATGGGGGTTGCATATCTAAACCTAGAGCTTTCATTCCCAAAGAAAAACATTTATTTAAGGCTGTTTTAGCAAGATTTTTCTAACTTTGAAAAGGGTTGGTATAACAGAGCCTAATCTGGTGTAGTAGAAAATTAACCATTTTACTATTAAGTACAGATCCTGTAAGAAATTTTTTACATCCCAACCTTCCCCAGCTAACTATCAAATAATTTCTAACTTAAGAATAAAAAACTAAAACATGAAGCTTACTGTATTTTCAGGATTTTTTCTATAAACATTGTTGGCAAAAATTTAGAGCATGTGACATGTATTTGTCATCTCTCTTTTATAATACAATCATATTCATGTCACAAACAAGAAGACATAAAATACAATTTTATTCTTATCTTTGGTGTAAAAAAAGAATTTAGTTGGGCCTATCTTTTTGTAAATAAAAGCTAAAAAAATATGGTGAAATTCAATATTCCCTTATTGAGCACATTCCCTAAAAGAGGCTTATGAAGTGACAATAGTGCTTTACTCAATCTGACAACACTGTACCATATCACATAGCTATTTTTAATATTAAACCTATTCATAACAATTACTCCTGGGAATAAACACTTCAATTTTCTCATAGAATCTAGATCTAGTAGATCTAGAAATCTAGCTCTATCACCCTAAGGGCTAAATTAAAGAAAATGTGATAGCCTGTTAGTGGTTGGCTGTAACTTATAGCTAAACCTTTATAATAAATTAATGTTTTTTTATGCTTGACTAAGTCTAATGTCAATGAATTAGGATATTAACAAATTGACCAAGCCTTGGTATGCTCATTCTAGCTCTAATCTTGTAAAAGTTGTACATTTTTAAAATCAATCAGAAATTAGGACTTAAATCTAGCAGGCCTGGCCTAAGCCCTAAACAGTGCGCCTAAGGCAAGGGGCCTTGGACTGACTGAATTAGGCCTAGACTAGCTAGGGCTAGGGCCTAATAATAAAATTAAAATTCAATATGGTATGCAAGAAATTGTATGATTTCAAACTAAGTAATTAACCATTTTATTTATTTCAGTAAAAATTGATCTCATTTTCATAACAACTGTCATTTGTAATTTTGATACCTAGCCATAAAAATAATTATTTTGACAAGGAAATGGGAAAGGGTGCAAACAAAAAACCAAATCATGAAAATAAATTTGAATAAATAAAAAATAAAAAGTAAAAAGACTGGATTTTTTAATGAAAGTTTAAGCAGTAGCAACGTGACCTGTGCAACAAAACGATTGTATAAGGTAGTTCTCCTTAAAATTATAGTCCCGATTTATTTTCTGATTGCATTAATCGTTACTCACTTTAGAGACCACAACAAATAAAAAGTAAATTTAGTCGTGTTGTTGGAAGTTCAACAGACGCCATTGAAAACTAATAGTAGGTTGCCAGATCAAAATTGTGAAAATTAGATTTATCTTGTTGCAAGTAAAGTATTTCGTGAAGATCTTATTTTCAACAATATTGATTGACAGATCTACTAACCTACATATTATGCTGAGTTTATACTAGACACCCTTATAGAAACACCAACAACTTTAATAGTTTCTAAAATAGTATTTACAAAATTATATGTCTACATTATTTTGAGTAGCTGAAGCACTCTTCGTTATTTTCATGAAAAGGTAAGTTCAGAAAATCGGAAACACATACTTAAAAGTAATCTGATCATAAAATATATAACCGAAATTTTAGTATGATGTAAGTATAATATGAAAGAATTAAGAACAGAACTGATACTGAGTAAGGGGTCATCCATAAATGACGTCACGCTTTTTTGACGATTTTTACCTCCCCCCCCCCCCCCCTCCCCTCCGTCACACGTCGTCACAAAAAGCCAGTAAAAAATGACATCACACCTCAGCCTACAACCCCCTTAAAAATTACAGTTGAATTTTTTTTAAAACATCGATATTTTTCTAAAATCTTGTCTGAACTCTGTCAAAATAGAGTATTTTAATCAATTCATATTACAATTTATTAAAACAGTTTTATAAAACGCGAAATAACGGCTAAAATTCGTTTTCTAACATTGCTTTTTTATGATGCAAAAGTGTGATGTCGCACCATCTGGACCCCCCCCCCCTCATCACACATCGTCACAAAATTACGGACCTCTCCCCTACGAGTGTGACGTCATTTATGGACGACCCCTAAATAGGTCAAGCGCTACAGTGGCCCTTTAATTAAAAATAATAAAACTACAACAGTAACATTAAGAACCTTTAAAAAAATGAAACTAATTATTTAATTATGCTTTATAACTTAAGTATTCAGGATTTAATATTTTTTTTATTATGCAGCCCCTAACGGTTAACGTATTTATGTAATGTAAATAGCTTAGGTCTCTTTGACAGCATTACTAATGGGTAACTGATTTGAAAAGCCTTTATTTTAAAGGTTGCACCAGTCCTGTTTTGTACTCAGCGAAGTATGAAAGGAAAAAAATGTTTTCACGTTACCGTTAAAGAATTTGACATGAGAGAAAAGGTATTTCCTATCTCTGCGCAAGTTAACTACGACCTGTGTTTAAACAGTAGTTAACCATGACTCCTTTTTCAGTTAAAAGACGACTAATCCCCTTTTCAAAATTAAAACGCACTTCTTCGGGCAGATTTTAATTTTTAATATGTGACATTAATTACTCAAAAGCGCAAATCTGAGGCAAAACTTGCGTTAAAAACAGAAAAACAGTCTTTGTATTTTATTTTCAATGGTTTAGCCGTTATGTTGCCAATCTGGTAAGTCAAGGAAATAGTCATTTTTATTTTTATTTTGTCGGTTCCGGTTTGGTTAATGCGAAAGAAAAAAATATTGTACACCAACGTATTTTTTTTTCTAACCAAGCGTACGAGATTTAAATACCTATATAGATCTAGAGATCTATATTCAGTTGCGACTAAATTAGAGACATGACCTAATTTGAAGAAATTGTAGAAAATATAGTTAATCGTGCGCTTCAACAATCGACGACACTATGTTATTCGCTGTATATATAACACTGTATATATTAAATAATATATATATAGTAAAGTAGAATATACTATTATTATTGATTACTAATAATAAGCAACCGGTATATTATATAATAAATATTCTACCGGTACAGATTTATTTATTTTTTGCCGCTCTAGTATTAGGGGCCTACAACTAGTATGATTAGGTCTAATCTACACTAGCGGTCGATACGACAGTAAAAAAAAATGACTTCAATAAACCTTATCGATGATCATCGCATGTTTTCTTTTGTCGCTAGCGGGGCTTAATAACGCCAGTCAATACAGCTCCCTACAATAAATCTTTCGGCGAAACGGCTCCGTTCATCACGTCAGCTAAGTACACACCGGTGGCGTATCCGGGTGGTGCATGGGAGCGTCTGTTCCCTTTGCGAGCAATTTTTAGGACCATGACGCTATTTTCGGGAAATAAAACAACTCAAATAAGCAGTACAGCCAGTGATGAATAGCTAAATTAATGAAAATAAAAGAGATGCGCCTACTGTCATGTGAGCGACGTTATTACCTCACTTATAGTGGACGTGTGCATTAAACTGTTAATTGAAGAAGGCGCCTATTTACGGCATAACTGACACATTTTAGTAATTTTACCATATTTTTATAATGCTTGGATGTGGAATATTATAAGAGATAAGTGTTTCTGTTACCATTGTTTCTTCCAGACTATTTCTCCGAGGGGGGGGGGACCACTGTTAAAAGTATAAAACGAGTATAGGACGGGGTCGACCGTACATTATAACGTGGATTCGCGATTTGAGACAAACAGGATCACATTGGTTCATTACATTGTGTATTGCCTTATGTACGGACGACAACTTTCACAGCTTCAACGAAGACTTGACTACATTAACGACGACGGACGAATACCTCCACACCCTAAGACTGTTGCAGAGGCGTAGCGACCCTTCCCGGCGCCCGGGGACATACTTTCAATTTGGCGCCCCCCCCCCCCCTCGAACTTTTCATTTGCACCCCCCCCCCCCTCAAACTTTCGATTTGCACCCCCCACCCTCGAACTTTTCATTTGCACCCCCTCCCCCTCAAACTTTCAATTTAGCGCCCCCCCCCCCTAAGGTCGGCGCCCGGGGACATATGTCCCCCCCCGCCCCCCCCCCCCCCCTCGCTACGCCTCTGGACTGTTGTAACTTACTTCCCCAGCAACCAGATCCTACTCTCAAACGTTAGATTCTTCCATACATCGTCACATAATCACAATCGTATATTAATATAAAAAAAAATATTCTACAACATACAATCTCCTATAGTCTTATACCCTTGCAATACACTGAGATACCATTCATAACAGTCACCAGCATTGTCCAAGTCTTGCTCAGACAAATCCAGACATTTTCATTACATATACTCTAGTCTAGTAGTATCTGAAAGATGTTTTTGTACAGCAGATATATAAAGGATGTATTATTACTTCAACATCTCTGGTTATAGGCCTATCACTTTACACGAGATTGTCAACACGCTGCTCCATATAGGCTAATTTGTAGTAGGGAAGTAGTGTTTCTTCCAGACTTTTTTTCTCCGGGGGGGGGGGGTGTGGTGGGGGGAAATTGCTTGCTTTCTCTATTCTTCTTGTTATTCTTCTACTAGTTTCCACATATAGTTAAAACTACGGTGACGAGGACGAGAACTCTCATATCCGTACAGTAAATAAGACAACTCGAATATCAGTTTGATTCACAGTATTTTACTTATTACACATCCGATGCTTAACACAATATATACTTCTTGTCTACACCTACTGTTCAATGTTTCCTACACTATTGTTCCTACGCTGTTCCCTAACTCTACACTTGTATCCGTCCTCTCACTACAAAGTCTCAACCTCGACTGCCTAGATTCAACTGTCTCCTAACCCTCATCGTCCTCACTTCTTGGTCCAGAACTGCAGGACGTCGGATCCCTGAGTCCAACCATCCTGATGCACGTTAGAGAAAGTAATGTCGGTTTGGCATAATGCTGACTGCTGACCACACCATGCCGAGGCCAAGAAACATCTTAACTCTACTTAATCTGCCATATAGATCGTTAGGTCTGATGGTGTAACTTCAATGTGCACCTTATTGTTATTTTGGCCCATTAACTCAGAATCAGGATGGATTTCATATCTGGGTTTTATCGATGTCATTGTTCACACAAGAACATCCACAAGGCATCGATTGTTTGGTTTGGTTATCTTCAGTTTATCTTTACACGTTATTAGCAGACACAAATTTCACTGGATTCATTTGGTGAGCGTTTTTAGTTTTCGATTTTATTTATCAGACATTTATCAGAAGAAAATAACATGGTTTTCTTTAATATATATTAATAATTCACCACTATTTAACTAAAAAGAAAGGCGTAGGGGGGGGGGGGGGGTTGTAATTTTGTGACGGTGCGTGATGAGGGGAGGGGGAGATTCAGACGGTGCTACGTCACACTTTTGCATCATAAAAAGTAATGATAGAAATCGAGTTGTAGCCGTTATTTCGCGTTTTAGAAAGCTGTTTTAAATTAATTAAAATACTCTATATTCAGACAAGATTTTTGGAAAAATATCGATGTTTTAAGAAAAATTCAACTGCAATTTTGAGGGGGGGGGGGGGCGTATAGGCTGAGGTGTGACGTCATTTTAGGGGAGTCGGGCTATTTGTGACGAGTGATGGAGGGGAGGGGGGAGGTAAAAAAGCGTCAAATAAAGCTCCTAAAATGTTAGTAAGGGTATTCAATAGGGCTGGTAAGTAGGTCACCAACCAGTTATAATTATATGGCTCATGCAGGTTTTATTGAGCCGTAGAACTAGTTGGTGACCTACTTACCAAACCCTATAGCCAACGTAATATATCGATTTACGCTTATCATTTTAGTTATTTAATAAATGGTGCATTATTTTTATTAGGGGTCGTCCATAAATGACGACGCACTCGTAGGGGGAGGGGAAGGGTCCGTAATTTTGTGACGGTGTGTGATTAGGGGAGAGAGGGGTTCAGATGGTGTGGACGGCACTCTTTTGCATTATAAAAAAAGCAATGCTAGAAAAACAATTTTTAGCCTTTATTTCGCGTTTTAGAAAACTTTTAAAATAAATTGTAATAGGAATTAATTAAAATACGCTATGCTGACATAGTTCAGATCAAATTTTGGAAAAAGATTATTCTAAGAAAAATACAACAGCAATTTTGAGGGTGGGGGGGGGGTTGTAGGCTAAGGTGTGACATCAATTTAGGGGTGGTCTGGCTTTTTGTGACGATGTGTGGACGAGAGGAGGGGCAGTTAAAATCGTCAAAAAAAGCGTGACGTCATTTATGGATGACCCCCTTGAAAAAAAAATATTGTCTTCTTTTGATGGCATCAGAGGGCGTAGCGACCCTTCCCGACGCCCGGGGACAAACTTTTCGATTTGCACCCCCACCCCCCCCCCCCCCCCCTCAAGATTTTGATTTGCACCCCCCCCCCCTCTTAAACTTCAATTTGCACCCCCCTAAACCTTTCAATTTATTTTTCCAACCCATTTTGGCACCCCCTAAAGTCGGCGCCCGGGGACATATGTCCTCCCCCCCCCCTCGCTACGCTACTGGATGGCATTTATAAAAGTTTGTTAGAATAGGCGAAAACTTTTTTAAAAAAAATCAGTTCTCACTTACGTTTTAAAAAATAAACCCATTGTCAAGCCTTGACATTACCGACATTTTACTGAATAATGTTTATAAAAACTTCATTTGTTGTTTAAAGTTTGTCAATAAAACTATCAAATATTATAACAATAGTTAAAAGCAAATATTTCCTTATTCTTTAAAAGTTTTTAATTTAGGTATAAATTTAATAATGTTTCTATAACAATTAACCGAAAGAGAAAACAAATGAAGTCTCGTTAGAATTGCGCGATTTAAGGCCAAGTCTCGCAAAGTTCTTCCTTTTACGTTCCACGCCGATCGCCATGCCAGCCGTAAGTTGTTGGTCTCTTTATTTTAGGCCTTAGAATAAACCGGTTAAAAAAAAAACTAAAAGGACAGCTGTTATTAAAAATGATGCATATCTTATGTTCATTTTATCGTTATTAGTTGGAACATTGAGATAAACTATTTGCCAAGAAGATTAAAACTTAGAACAAGCAGTAACTTCGGTGGACTTCTCGGTAAAACTCCATTTTTAGCGTATTTTATTCCTCGCTGCACGTTCACCTCCAGTTGAGCGTATTTTATTATAAACACAACCGAAACATTAATACGTTAGGCAAAATTGAGCTTATTTCCTTGTGAATCTTTTAGTTTTTGATAATTTACTTTTGTCAAAACTTGAGAAAAATCCAAATTTAAAATACGAGCTGACCCGCGCCGTAAGCATACGCCGCTGATTAGTTGTTTTATTTTCTACTTTTCAGTAATTTCATAATTCACTACGGATGCTGCGACAGAAAATATTTTGCTTTAATACACTATTAGAGAAACTTGTGGTTTGCGGACACACAGCGAAAAAAAATCAGAACTTCCAACTTCCATGCGGTCTCATTCAGTAACCGCTTAACATAGAAAACAAAAAAAAAGTATCGTATCACTCCGCAACCATTCTACTTTAATACTGTGTGTGTCATTTTGTATTCATATGCATAAAACTTTCGCTGCTACGCCAGCCATGTCACATCATTCCCCCCCCTCTTTCATCTTCAACTGCCTTCTTGGCCTTATTTTGAGCCTTTCCCTTCAATAACCAGCCCCTTTTACGCTCTAAATTCTTATTTAATAATAGTTTTGTGTTGCTGTCCGCTCAAATGTAAGGTCAAAAGAGTTAGCAAACACTCCTTTTTTATTGTTCAAGCCCAAAAAAACCCATTAACCTGACATTTACGATGTTCCATACATTATATAGAAGCTATTTATAGTGTAACCTTTTAGCTAAGCGTTGATTGGTTCAAGTTTTGCCCAAGTCCAACCCGAGGTCACTTCATCCGGCTTGTGTAAAAATAGAAATGTGCGTACCATGCAACGTTACAAAACTTCTAAAAATAATTATTGAGAGAGAGAAAAAAAGTGTTCAGTTTACGTGCAGGTGACGTGGTTTCGCATGAGACATGCTAATTAAAGTTTCTATGAGCCAAAAAGCGATGTAGTGTCCGGGTTTAAGTAAACTTCTCTAGTAGCTGGTAAAGATGATTATCCACACCCTCTCCACCCCTCCTACGAACTCTGTGAAAGCAGCTGTCCATGACGACAGTTTACAGACGACAATGAATAGTTATGGCAGAAATTACCTCCCCTTTTTACATCTAAATTATCTGCCCCTACCCCTAATAGCCGACCCGGCTCTGTTATTGTAAACATTCAGGGTAAACCACAGCTCACCTGACAGGTAGGGATGAGGGTGGTGGCTAAGCTGCGTGGTGTTTTCTATGGTCTCAATGAAGAGAATTGTATATATGGATTGAATGTGCTATGTTCCAGTGTCAGTTAAGATTTTCATGGCAACAAGTGAAGTACAAAACTCACAATTGCAAGGCGGTTTATATTGTTACAAGTATCTCCCACGCCTGATATTATAAACTTTTATGAACTCACAATGACCCCAAAACGGAGGTCAGCACTATTTCAAATAGATTCTAGCTATTGCTCAAGCTATGACATGATGTATGCTGATAAAGTCAATTTGAACTCACGGTGAACCCTCGACCATGTAGTGACGATCACACGCTATTTAATTGGAACTGTCCTAATACTATTTGTTTTTTTTTTTTACCTTTTCTAATCAAAACTCACATTCATAGAAAATAAGTAGATGTAGATACCTAGCACTCATCCTAGTGTTTTCCTAACATCTTTTTGTGTTTTGGTTGTGTTTATAATATACGCTCAACCGGATGTGACCGTGAAGCGGAGAATAAAATACGCTAAAATGGAGTTTCTGGACATCTCTCACCACCCTAGCTGGCAGCTGCCTAGCTAGATCTGGAATAAAGTTCCGCAATTGATCAGACATAGTGGAAAATTCCTAACTCCTATTGTCGGGATAGGCATTAGGGTTAGGATTTAGATCTATAGGCCTATATTCATGCACCGTACATCAAAAACATTACCACATTGGGGGGGGGGGGGCAAGTTTCCCCCCATGGCAATGCAGTTTCTTCCAGGATAGGCCTTGAGTGGGAATTTCAATTTTTTATACCTAAATATTTCAGAAGACAGTTAAACGTCCAGGCAAGGTCCTGTCCAATAAAGGTGGCAAAAAGAAAAAGACCACCCTAAGGTACACAATCGACTGCACTCATCCTGTTGAAGATGGTATTATGGATGTAGGAACATTTGTAAGTAACTTGTCTAGTAGTACCTAATTTTTTTTCTGTCATTACTTTTTAAAGACCTGTGAACTATGGCTGACAAATTATTTTTAAAAGACCTGTGTGAACTAGGGCCATCTTCCCTAGGGATATTAGGGTCACCTTCCCTAATATATTGGAGCCTTGCTCCATTCTTATTTTCTCAGGAGAAATACTTACAAGAGCGTATCAAGGTTGAAGGGAAAACTGGCAACTTTGGAAATAATGTTTCCCTTGAGCTTCAGAAAAACAAAATCAATTTGACCAGTGAGATTCCATTCTCCAAAAGGTACATTTTTTTCAGTTTTGTTTTTTTTAAACTGGTTCGTTCTGTAACATACTAAACTTTTAGTATACTGCATTCCTACAATCTTATTGTCCTTGTGTTAAGAGAAATATTTTACAATTAGTTATAAAATTGAAAAGAATGGTGTTAACTGGCTTGCTTCTACAACAGCTGCAACCCTAAATCAGACACCAATGGAGACTATGCCCATCATCTTGATTTTTTTTTTTAGTTTTGTCTTTGGTTAAATGATTACAACACAAAAAAACACTTGATAAAGTGAAGAGATATTTCAATTTGTAAATGAAATTGATGTACAGAAAATATGTTTACATTAATAATTTTAATAAGTAAAACATTTTGTTCAGAAAAAAACATATTCTCCACTTTATTCCGAGAATTAAATTATAATGCAAGTATACTTTGACCACACCATTAGCTGTAAGAAAAAAATAGTTTTTTATCAATTTGCTTGTATGTTGTGCTAGGCAGTTTGATGTATTTTAAAAATATTTCCCCAGATACCTCAAGTATCTAACAAAGAAATATTTGAAGAAACACAATCTGAGAGATTGGTTGCGTGTGGTAGCTTCCTCAAAAGAGGCCTTTGAACTGAGATATTTCCAGATTAATCAAGATGATGAAGAGGAGGAGGAAGATTAAAGTCATTTGTAATGAATTGAGTAATAAATAGTACCAGTCCAAATTTTGTTTCTTCTTGAGTTTGTTGTAGCTTTGTTAAAATGTCAGGGTGCTATTTGCCAGCTGTAAATTAAATATTTTCCTATTTAGCTGCTTGATGAAATTTTAGTAGACCTTTTTTCAGATATAAGAAGTAAACCTGTCTTGTAGTAATACCAGTTAAAATTGTGTACATCTCAGGGGGAGGGGGGAATAAATGACTGTCTTGAAAATTTCAGCATTAAGTAATTTTAAAAACTAAGGCCCGATGAATGGTTTTGAGAGTACCTTGACTCAATTGTGAAATGCAATCTAGTACAAAGTACGATAACTTGGTTTATGTAATAGTGTTTATTTTACACGGTTGCGCCCCTTTTGTAAGCATATTATGACTACGGTAGCGCTATTTGAATTCAGACTAATCCTCATTGCAAAAGTAACTTTTTAATGAATACATTACAAATGTATTGAACAAACTTGTTTTGATAAAGGGATTGGTTGCCAAAAGATTGAAATTTCATGTTTGACCAAATGCTTTCATATTGACATGAGACATCCAGGTCTTCTTTTAATGGGGTTGCCGCTCTCCCACTGGAGACGTGTCTTAAACTAAAGAGACTGTCTTGTTTTCCTTGTCAATACTTTGATTGCAATATGTGTTTACAAATTTTGTTACTCAAATTTGGCCCATGAATAATACTGGTATAACTTAAGAGTAAGAGCGTGTCCGACAATAAGAGAAATATTATTTACCAATAGTATGAGTTAGTGTTCACGTCATTAATATATTAAACTAAAGACACCGTCCGACTGCAAAGGGGCAGGTAATGCGCTTGTAATTGTAGACAATTTATTATGAAAAATTATATATATCAATCGGGTATTAATATATAAGCTCATAAAAAGACAAGCTATGTTGACTCTAGACCTGAATATATTATGAGAAAATATATTGGCTCTCACGTGTGTAGATTAATGTATACTTAAAACTGAATAAAAACTAATGTAGAAAAAACAATGAATGCGTAAAGTATGAGAAATTTAACAACATAGAAAACCATCTAAATTATTTTTTAATAGGCTGGATTGGTTGATTTTATGACGTGGTTTTGAATGTTGAAAACGTAAAAATTATTGATGACACATGCATCATCATAGTAAATAGTCTACAGTAATGCCGGAGGGGGTCTACATAAGTGAATTGCGTGCATATGGGTCAACACCTTCAAATTTATCGAGCGCAGTTACAACGTCACACTGCAGGCTCATGGCGGAAATGCCCCACAAAAGAAAAACACTTTTAAAGTTTCCATCTTTTAGTTTTAAAAGAAGGGGGGGGGGGAACATGGTGGAGTGTACTAAGGTGAGCTAAAGAGGCGGAGCAACGCTGGTGGACGACGTTTGGCAACCCACTGCAGCGCTTGCGCAGTGGGGGGAAAATGCGGAGAAGGAAGGTGGGTGGAGGGTATATGAGCAAGCACGTCAGCGCGCGCCGTGACGCAAAAGAATGCCTGACCAAATCTGATGGGTGCGATGATGAGGCAAGGTTGCCGCTCCAGTGGTTCTTTCTAGTCTTAACCTTGGCGTGCGGTAGAAGTTTACTCGTACAGGCCGGATTTATAAACTATGATTTAAAGGGTTTCTTTCACACATTTTTCTTCGAGTCACTTTAAACTTAGTAAATGCAGGACAAGGGCAGCTATAACAATGAAAAAATTATGTAATTTCCATTTGAAAAATGTTCGGGGGGGGGGGCGTGTAAAAGGCTCGCAGAGTTTCTTCCAGGCATCTCTTCGGGGGGGGGGGGGGGGAGGGGGCAGACCCCCCCCCCCCCAAGAAAGTTTACCGCCTCCCCCGAACGAAATGCAATTTATATAGAAAGCACATACTTTTAACAGTGTCCTCCCCCAGAAATTTTAGTCCGCCCCCCCCCCCTTTCCAAGAAAAAAGTCTGGAAAAAACACTGGAGACCAGTTCCCCTCTTTCATTACAACCCCTCCCAACGGAGGAGAAATGTGGTAACAACGTAATCATAGCTTAAACTACAATTTATAGGTAGCCCACGAGGTTTCATAGTTCTGCAGAAACTACCCATCACTAAGTCATAAAACGAAACCAAAGATCCTTAGATCTAAAAAGTGACAATATAATACTCTCGCTACGACCCCCCTCCCCACCCCTACTCGCTCATAAAATGCTAACATATTGCATAATATTTTTACCCCTACGTTGTATATATGACGTCATTTATGAACTCCTACCCCCCTTCCCCAGTCCTTTTTCTAGGAGAAGAGCCATCATTTCTATTGTCCGTGCTTATCAAAAGCCCCTTATATTACTTATAATAAATAATTTGATAAAGATAATCGTTACTGATAGCGAGACCAAAGTATCAGTGGCGTAGGGATGTTTTTATATGGGGTGGGGGGGTGATGCTTCCTTAAAGCCCCACGTAATAATATATATATATATATATATATATATATATATATATATATATATATATATATATATATATATATATATATATACATATATATATATATATATATATATATATATATATATATATATATATATATATATATATACATATATATATATATATATATATATATATATATATATATATATATATATATATATATATACATTAGATAGATAGATAGATAGATAGATAGATAGATAGATAGATAGATAGATAGATAGATAGATAGATAGATAGATAGATAGATAGATAGATAGATAGATAGATAGATAGATAGATAGATAGGCCCAGTGTTATAATTATACTTATACCATAAAATGTTTTTAAAAAATTTAACCACAGAAAAAAGTCGCCATTAATTGTAGCTATTATGGTTAATTGGGGAATGGGAGGGGGGGGGGTCCTAAACCCGCCTCACACCCCGAACCTACGCCACTGCTAAGTATTACAACAACTGACAACTTGGGATCTTTAATGAAACTGGTTAGACTGTACTCCATAGAGCACACCACGTGGTATTAGGTTAAAGGTTAACCCTAGAAGTTGAAAACATCCATTACATTCACATGGCTGAATATCAGAAGCGTAGTTTTATTTACCATGTTGGGTGGAATTTTTTCGTTTATCAACGAATACATTTTAAAATTTTTAATTAATGTAATTAATGAGGGTACCTTATCTAAAAAAAATAATAATGTAGGCTACGTTCTCAGTACTCTACAATAATCCACGTAGAATCAAAATATTAATATAACATAATAAATAATTATAGTATGCCTTATTGCCTATTTAATTTTAAACCTACTGCCTAACAAAAGCAATAAATAAAATATGTCAAGTTGCAGCGACTAGGCCTACAATGTTTACCGTTTAACTTTTGTTCAAGAAAAAGAAACAACGATAGAAAACACAAAGGATTATATTACAGAAACGGGAAGGGGGTGAGATTTTTGCGTATTAACCATTCGATTGTAGTTTGTATGTAGGTATGACCTCCAAACATCACGGAGAGACCACGCCATAGGTCCGCTGGTCCCACACTGTTCGCGGTGTAATCAGCGCAGTGCGAGAGAAGGGGGAAAAAAGTAGGCCTGGGTCATAGAGATGACTCATAGCCGACTGTGTGTGCGAACGTGTGTGTGTTCGTTTGGTTTCTGGTATGAATCATAAACATGAGCCGTATGGACGGGATGCTCTGTTCGTTTAGTTACTAGAGCCTGTAGGCTACCCCCTTTTTTTTTCTCACCCTTTTTATTTAAAATCATAACAAAACTACATCGGGGTTTTCTGTTTCGAGTTCACCCCCTTGGTTGTGTATTGCTCTCCGGTGATACTAGAAAAAAGTTTAGTATACGCACAGGGGGTCGTCTGTTCATTCATCACTAACCATCACCCACGAACAGACGGGTGGTGGTTGTCAATGTAATTGTTTCGCAAACTTTTTCACTCGTGCTGAATTACATTTCTTTCGTCGCTATGGTGGAGCTATACGGACAAGAGGAGTAACTAACACAACAGGCGAACACACTGGGTCTAATTCTTCGATTGAAAACATACGTGAACTTATTTCAAACAGTCGAGGGAGCGACAGCTGCGCGCGGGATAGGGTGAGTAATATAATTTATTTTTGGCTAAAATCGAGCGAGGAACATCGCTGTCTTACAGTTAATTTTATTTCACTTCGACTAATTAGATCGCATAGTCTAGATCACTATGTATACTAGATAAATAGTCCAAAACATAGATTATAGATTCTAGATCTAGTTACTAGCTGATCTATCTATATGAGACTAATATAAATAAATATAGATTCTATATTGAATTTTATCAACAATATGACACTAATCAATATCAAGATAGGACAGTAAACCTACATTTCGGTTTGAAAACCACAACCCCTATACTTACACATAACAACGTTATAATGGTCAGCGATACTAGTGGTTCGATCTTCGGGGGGGGGGGGGAGAGGGGGTACGGCTATCTTCAAAGTGCACTAACTTCAAAGTGCCGATCTAATTCAAATAACAAAACAGTTACTTCTTATTATATGCCCTAGACTAGGCATACAACAATCACTGGCTACATAATATTATAGATTGCTACCTCAATAAGCGCTAGGCGTATGTAGTATTTTCATTATTTAACATCAATGCCTGCTATTTAAAGAAGAAGAAAAAAACTAATTAGTAATTAGCAAGTCTAAGCCTCAGGTAACTCAAGTTAGAATACATGTGTAGCCAGTCTTAATTATGTGTATCTTTTAATAGGTTCGCCTTTTTATTTGCACCCCCCTACCTAACCTTCATTTCACTCTGTTAAAAACAATGTCAGTGGTGTTATTTTAACAGGTGGTATTTATGCTCATAAACATAGCTAGTTTTCACATGGCCCCATACTAAAGGTGTGCTCGACTGTGCCACGTCTAACACCTAAATAATCTCGACAAACGACGCTGAAAGCGTAATTATAAGCATGGGTGATAGGCATGTTCTATAAATAGGTTTTAGCGAGGCAAACAATAAGATAAGAGCGAGCAC